GGGATGCTAATTATTGTGGTTTCTAGAAAGTGCTAGTATTCAATCAAAATATAAAACTTTTCACAATGAAATTGGCCATGGCTGTCATTCCCGACTCTGGCTTCTACAGAAGAATGGAGAAGCCAGCTGACATCTGGACTCTAAACTTCTTCTGCTCAGCCCACACTACTGCCTTCCTCCTCTACCTTCCCTGGTGTTAGGATTCGAGCGCAGTTTGGACAGACAACACCAAAGCCGATCCGATCCGGTTCCAAGGGAAGGGGTTTATTTGGGGAAGGGAGTGGGAGAGAGGAACGGGAAGATGGCGAGTGAAGAGAAGACGAAGAGAGAGAGAGGTTGGGGTGGTCCCAACTATTTAAGTGGGTGATGACGTGTGTAATTTCCCAGGTGTAGGTGAGTCAGGTAGGTGAATTCTGGGAGTGGTTGTCCCAACAACATAGGAGTTGCAGGCCCCTGAATATGACGTCACCGGGTTCAGACTTATACTAACACCTGGTCCTTCAGAAAGTAGCCATCCCACTATCTCCAGCTATGAAGAGAAGCAAATATCTTTTGTATTGTCTTGGTAAATTGTCTGTGCTGTTTTAAGCTCAGCTCACCGAGGAACAGGCACTAGAGCTAGGATTTGACCCTCTCACTTCAGACTCAAGACGATTTATATCAAAGCTTCCTTCAAACTCCTCTGCCCTGGGTCATGATGCTCCTTGACTCTGTAACAGGTTGAAAATAGAACAAAACAGCTCAAAGTGAAAGCATTGTGCCTTTGAGAACAACTAAAAGGGTTCTGCATTTACATAACATAAAAGGCCTGTAGAGGGTAAGGCTAAGGAAGCTTCTTTGCCTAAGCACCCCCAGTGGATGACTCTACCATCACAATATCTGCTTCTTGCATCTCTGCTGCTTGGGCTCATTCAGAACCCAAAGCATGGCAATGGTTGATCTTTCTTTGGTCTATGAAAAACATAAAAAGGTTTTTGATTGTCCTGTGTTCTGTGGGATTTTGCCTGGGAACTTACAAAGTCTCATAGTGTGACAGTATGTATACAGGTAATATTAACTTAATTAGATGATGCTATGTGTGTAGTTTGGATTCAGTTCTCTTTTAACATGATGATAAGCTTACTTTAAGGTATTAAGAAAAAAAATAAAAGGGAATCAGCAAGTAGGAAAAAATGTTAGAAAGCTGTAAGGCCTGAAATGCTTTTAGTAAAGATGGATTTGTGATGGGAGATTAAGATGACAGTTTCTGGAATGGGAAGGAAACTGGGAAGCCCAAGTGAGTCCCAAAAGCTCCGATTAAGTTGTGTAAGACATGTGGAAGATGAGAGCCAGGCAGCTAAGCAAACTTTATTTAGAAGTATTTAAGCTGTGCCTAAGCTTTAAATGGTATGCACTAACTAAATGTATCAGGCCGGAGTAACTGACTTCTCATTATTTAATATATGTACTTGGAAGCTATCCTAATGTAGAAAGAGAGACAAAAACAGACAAGTTGCCCCTTGTCCTCCAAAGTGAACTATGTCTCAGGGACTATGAGACATCTCTCAGAATGACCTCGATGCCTGGTGATTCTTCTTTTGTTTGGAGAGGCCATGGTAGAGTCCAGACCAGGTAGAGTCTACCCAGTGTCCATCCTACAAAGGAGGAGGTCACCACAGAGGGACATTTTCCTCCAAATGAAGCCATTGCCAACCAGTGCTCTGACTAATCATCACAGCAAAGAAACGGGTAACAGAAAGGCCCAAGGAGCCAGGAGCTCCTCCTAAGAACTCCTGAGGGCTAGACCTTCAACTAGCCTTAATAAAAGAATAAAATGATTCATTTTGGCCTCCTGCATGGTCTTAAACACAGATCAAGAAAGTATCACCAAAAGTAAGATTATTGATGATGATAAGACAAAGAATAAAGCAGCCCATGCCTGATGCTCACTGACAGTGATGTGAGAAACACAGCCTGCTTGGCTAGACTCCAGTAAGGGCTCTCACCTTTTCTCAGCAGTGAGCACGTTGCTCTTTTTATAGTCCTGATAATTTCGTTTCTGTTTCCTTTGCTCTACAAACTCAGACTAAGGTCACGTCAGCATCCCCATCCAGTGGTAAAAGGTCTTCATAGTAAACTTGGAATAAATCTATTATGATCTTAGCACTGATGCTGTCAAACCCTAAACCTTGAACTCTCAGCTACTGTCTCATTTTTATCTACTCTTTATAGTTTGTTCACACTCAGATGGTCCTGCAATGATCTCGCTCAATCTCATCCCCCTGATCATCCTCCAGAAAGTCCATTTAGAGTGGAGATCATGAGCTCTTTCTACATCTCCAGTGTCATGTACAATCACCCAGATTGATTCTGTGTCCGTCTTCTAAATGATTTTAGGGTCTTAAATGATTTTAGGGTCTTTAGGTCTCTCTTGAGGGGAGAATGTTAGGGGGCTAGATAATCATTGGCAGGCTTGGAAGCCATCAAAGATGACATCTTTCATGACATTTTCTCCCTCTGAAATGGGTGTAAGGTAGCTACATAGCAGGTTTGGAGACCACTGACAAACCCTTCCTTCAGAGCATCCTTGTCCTTCAGTACCAGAGACTGCTCCAGGATCCCCCTGATGAGGATGTCAACATCATCCAGCAGGAAATAGCTACATAAGCAAGGACTGCACCTTCTCCACCCATCTCTAGAAGTCAAAGTCCGGAATGTTAGCCATGGCCAACTTCATTGTGAAAAGTTCTTATATTTTGGTTCAATAGTAGCAGTTCCCATAAACCACAGTAATCAGCATTCCAGAACAGAAGCCTCAATTCCTCACTCATCCCACCCTTGAAGACCCTTGATATTGACCATCCATAAGAGATATTCTTTGGTCAGGTCACCTGGACTTTTGTCTTTTGAGACAGGGTTTCTCTGTAGCCATGGCTGTCCTAGAACTCACTCTGTAGTCCAGGTTGGCCTCAAACTCACAGAGATCCACCTGCCTCTGACTCCTGAATGCTGGGATTAAAGACAGGCGCGACTGCCGCTCAGTGGAATTCTTTTAGTTAACTACCCAGCATTCCGTTTTCACCCTAGCAACAGCCAATCCTGAGTCAAAAAGGAAGATTTTACCCCCCTGCTTCAGCCCTGTAACTATCCTAGTTTGTAAGGAATAGAGGCTCTGGTTCTTACCAGATACTTCCCCTTCTAGGTTTCCCAAAATAAAGACCTGCACTATGGGAAAATTGTGCTAATTAAGGTTGAAGTTCACCATGACCCAGTAGCCTCTGGGTTTGGTGCAATATGGGAGACTCTTCATTAGTGGGGCTTCTTCTCTGACAATGTCTGGGGAATTCTAAACCCCCACACATGTCTGTACCTAAGGAATGTCACATAACCTTAGTTTGATTACAGGATCAATTTCTGATAAAACATGTTCAGCTAGCACCTGAGATAATGCTTCCCCATGCTAATGAGGCATTTGATGCACTAATCCCTCAGCCAATGATCTTTGCCCACCTTGGATGTCCCTACCCTCGTTCCCCCAAAACTTTATAAGCCTGAATCACCCTAAGTAAAGTTGATCTGCCTCCCGATAGCTGGCCCCATGTGGTTATTCACCATACGTACTCACTGGGCTTCCAAGCGCCCGACCCCCGACCCCCCCACACACACCCCAGCCCTGTTAGTTGTCTTTTCTCCCACTGACCTCTCTGACCTTACTAGCTGATGATCCATGATTGAGTGGAGACCCACACTAGACTGTCTTTTAAAAAATATGTGGTGACAGCTGGTGTTTTATTGTCAAGTAGACACAATTCAGAATCACCTGTGGCAGGAGTATCGATGGAGAATTGTCTGGATTGTGCTGGCCTGTGAGCATGGCTGTGAGATATGCTGGCCTATGAGTATGCCTGTGAGATTTTCTTAGTTGGGTCAGTTGAGGAAGGGAGACCCACCCTGAATGCAACCAGAGCCGTTTCATAAACTGGGACCTGGACTGAAGGAAAGGGAGAGCAAGCTGAGCACTAGCCTGCGTGTGTAAACTCACTACTCTCCGCTCTCGACTGTAAGGCGGTGTGGCCAGTTCTCTCTGGCTCTTGCTGCCATCCTTCTCCATAACGATGAACAGTAACCTGGAACTGTCAGCTAAAACGAGCCTTGATATCTTATCACGGCAGCAGGAAATGAAGCTAAGATGTTCCCCAGTACCCAATGCCCGTGATTTTGCCAGTGTGCCTGCTGGAGCTAGTAGAACACATTGTCTGCAGAGTACTGATTCATCTTGAGAATCTACTAGAACTGCTCAACAACAGCCACAAAGAGAGCTCAGATTTGCAAAGCATCTGTCCTCCCCGGCCGGCAGTTGCTAGTTTATTTAGTGGCGACTTGTATTTAACTCTCCTATAGACTTAAGCACACATACGATCCATCAGGCCGTTAATATTAATAGTGGCTGTAAAAGTACTCTGGACTACACTGTTGGTGCCCAACCCTTCCATATTCCAGATTACAGAGTTCTTTATCCCTTCTTAAATAAATCTCTGAGTATATAAAGCTATACATTTTCATGAAAAACCTCCCGGGAGCTGGAGAAATGGCTCAGTGGTTAAGAGTACGACTGCTCTTCCAGAGGTCCTGAGTTCAATTCCCAGCAACCACATGGTGGCTCACAACCATCTGTAATGGGATCAGATATCCTCTTCTGGTGTGTCTGAAGAGAGTAGCAGTATATTCCCATATGTAAAATAAATAAATAAATCTTAAAAAAAAAAAAAAAAGAAAAAAAAGAAAAGAAAGAAAAACCTCCCACTGGCTCACAGGTAAGATCTGGAATCTCTAAGCTAGTTCCAAGCAATGATCGCCTGTCTTAATCCTGGAATCTCCTAGTAAGATGGGTAGTAGTAGCAGAGTTGAATCATGATTTTATAAAACACGTGGGTTTTTTCCCTTCCTGGTTGGACTCTCCATCTTGAGAAGGTTAGGTGGATTTTTGCTTATGTTATTAATACCTGTTCATTTGATTTCAGTGGTACAGGCATGGATGGGAAGAAATGCAGCGTGTGGATGTTTCTACCTCTTGTATTTACTTTGTTTACTTCAGCTGGCTTATGGATAGTGTGAGTATACTTTAGTTAATGATTTAAGGATTCAAGTGTAAACAGAGAAAATCCAAGTTTTGGTACTATGACATATTTATATAAATGTATTTATAAGTAACATTATATATAGTAAATGATAAGTTTTTTAAGGAAGTATATATTGATACATATACACATACATACTAATTCAACCTTACTAAAGTCTTCACTTTTATCATCTTTTATTATCAATAACAGAATTGGATAATAAACTATGCAAAAATAAGTAATAAAGAAGACTTTGCCTTCTTTTCTCTCTCTCTTTCTTCCCCTCTCCCTCTCTCTCTCTCTTTCTGTCTCTCTCCCCCTCCCTTAACTTCCTACCCCCTTCAAGACAGGTCTTGTATAGACTAGGCTGGCCTTAAACTTGCAACATTCTTCCTGCGTGCTGAAATTACAGCATGTACCACCACACACAGCCATCTGAACTTCTTGTAAACTTTTTTGTTTACACAGAGTCTTACTCTAAAGCCTGGTATGGAGCCTGTCCTGGGATGATTGGCTTGTACCACATTGATGAATCTTGAAAACTGGTTATATGAGTTAATATTTGCAAGATTTTTCTCATTTTACACAGATGTGCTGTGCACTCCAATTGCAATCTAGTTATGACAAGATATGATCTATTTATAAAATAGCTATCCCTGTACCAGAAGACCTGGCTTACCATAGAAAAAGTTCCCTTAGTTGATGATTTGGTCAATATTTGTCTTAAGAAAACGCATGAAGAGGCCGGGCGGTGGTGGTGCACGCCTTTAATCCCAGCACTTGGGAGGCAGAGGCAGGCGGATTACGGAGTTCGAGAGTTCGAGGCTAGCCTGGTCTACAGAGTGAGTTCCATAACAGCCAGGGCTACACAGAGAAACCCTGTCTCAAAAAAAAAAAAAAACCAAAAAAAAAAACCCCAAAAAAAAAAAAAGAAAGAAAACGCATGAAGAATAATGTCACTGGCCTGGGGCTGTAGTCAATGGGAGAGCACTTCCCTAGCACATACAAGACCATGGGCTCTGTCTTAGCTTCTATTCCATTGCTGTGGTAAACCCCCGTGGCCAAGACAACTTATAAAAAAGAAAGCACTTGCTTTGGGGTTTCCAGTTCCAGAGAGTTAGAGTCCGTGATTGCAGAGCAAAGACAAGGTGGCTAGAAAAGCTGAGAGCTCACGTCCTGATCTGCAGGCAGGAAACAGAGAGAGCTAACTGGAAATGATGGAAGTCTTTGAACCTTAAAGCCCACCCCACAGCAATACCACCCTCAACAAGACCACACCTACTACTCCTTCTCAGACAGTTCCACCACAGGCTTGATTACCAGGAGTGGGAAAACCAAACCAAACAAACAGAAAAGTAAGAATAGAGGTCATATATTCCTGAGATATTATATTAAAGCTGTAAGTTTTAGCCACATCACCAAGTTTTCAGATTATAAGTATCACTGCTAGTCTGGAATCTCTTCAAAATTAACTCTTGTAAGGAGTTATTTAAGATCATGTATATGTCTCTTTGTGGTATGCACATGTGAGTGTAGGTGGCTATGAAGGCTGGAGGCATCAGATGCCCCTGGAGCTGGAGTCACAGAAGTTATGAGCTACCTGACACCTGTGCTGAGAACTGAACTCAGGTTCTCTGGAACAGCTCGTGCTCTTAACTGTTGAGCCATCTCTCCAAACCATGATAATCAGTGAACCATTAACCCCAGCATTTAGCTTTAAAGCACCAGTGATCTATGGGTAAGCAACGGTAACTGACATGGTTGTGGTGGTGCACACCTGTAATCCCAGCACTTGGAAGGCTGAAAGAGGGGGATCATAAGTCTTAGGCCAGCCTGAGCTACAGAACAAATTCCAGAACAGCCAGTGCCATGGTGAGATCCTGTCCCAAAAGAAAAATCAATGTAGGGGGCTGGAGAGATGGCTCAGCGGTTAAGAGCACTGACTGCTCTTCCAAAGGTCCTGAGTTCAATTCCCAGCAACCACATGGTGGCTCACAACCATCTGAAATGGGACCCATTGCCCTCTTCTGGTGTGTCTGAAGACAGCTACAGTATACTTGCCATATATGCAAAATAAATAAAAGCTTTAAAAAAGAAAAAGAAATGTAATCAAAGATCTTTTTGTTTTCTAGTTGGTTGATTGGTTGATTGGTTGGTTGGTTGGTTGGTTGGTTGGTTGGTTGGTCAGTCGGTTGGTTGGTTGGTTGGTTGGTTGGTTGGTTTTTTGAGAGAGAATCTCATGGAGCCCAGGCTGGTCTTGCACTCCCTAAGTAGCTGAAGATGATCTTGAGTTCCTGATCTTACTGACTCCATATCCCAAATATTGGAAATATAGTAGTATGTGTGCAAACATGCCTAGCTACAAAAGTGTTTTCATAGTTAGAAAACAGTAGGTGTGACAGGACAAATTAGATATTTAACCCAAGTAAAATGACGAGTGATTCTTAGGGGTTTGTTTTTTGTTTTGTTTTATAAACTAGTCATTCTCTCTTGCTAGGTACTTTATAGCCGTGGAAGATGACAAAATTTTGCCATTAAATTCAGCTGCAAGGTAAAGATTTCCTCTAGAGAATTCACTCACTGTCCCCCAGTTGCCATTGATGTTGTCTTAATCTGTGCCTCTGTGCTTTGTCATCTAGGAAATCAGGTGTGAAGCACGCTCCGTACATCAGGTAACTCTGACTCTGCCTGACCTGTCAGACCCACCAAGTTACAGACTTAGACAGCCGGGCCCTAAGGCTTTGCCTTCTTCCAGTTTTGCAGGTGATGATCCTCCTGCGAGCTGTGTGTTCAGTCAAGTAATGAACATGGCTGCCTTCCTAGGTAAGAGGAGCAGGAACCACGCTTCACAGGTTCTACTACATCCCTGCTTTAAGTCCTCCTAAATCCACATCAAAACACGGGAGACCTGGCTGATAACGTGCTGTCCTGTCACTTCAGTATGCTGAGGGCAGCTTTTTGTTTTACGGGCCTTTCCCCTCCTCCCTCTCCCCACCCCGCCCCCACTCGTAAATCCTTTTGCATTCCCCTGCCCCCCTCTCAGCCCTTCTCCCTTTACAGTGCTCATCTCTTCCATATACTCCGAACTTTATTTCTTTTGCTGCGAGAGATGATATATTTCACGTGTCATAAAATCTTGCTGAGAATATAATAGGTGCCACACGGTTCCTTTGAAGAGGATGGCTTATTTATTTTCTCCTTGGCTCTGGGATAAATATCTCCCTTACCACTGACCCTAGCACGACACCCTCCTGTGTGCCCATATACATGTCAGGCTGCCCTGTTAAAACGTAGATTGCAGAAAAATTACCATTTCTCTGGGGCCCAGGACCCTCCTTTAACATCCTGTCTGCCAGGTTCTGCAAGTAGTTACACGACCCTTCCAGTCCTCTGGGGACAGTGGGATCAGCTATGTTCTTGTTGAATGTCACCTGCTCTTCTAAAAACACCCAAGCCAGGCATGGTGGCATGTGTCTTTAAACCCTGAAGGCAGAAGCAGATTGCTATTGAATTCGAGGTCAGCCTGGTCTATATAGTGAGTTCCTGGCCAGCCTAGGCTACACAGAGAGCCCCTCTCTAAAACTAAACAAGTAAATAAATAAATAACCCAGCAAACCCATTCATACCATAGCCTGAGTGACTACTATCAAATGCTTGCAGTTAACAGAGCATAAAGCCCCAAGAGTGAACTTGAACTGCAGGGCTGGGGCCTCCCACAGAGCCCTCTGCCATCACTGGATCCCAGCGCATAGGCTTACAGGCTGCCCAGCCTCAGCACTGAGCGTCCCGAGGGCCCAGCAGCCATGATTTCTGCTCCAGACCCAGGGCTGAGTGCTTTCCTGGCTGTGCCTCATCTCCTCACAGCACACAGGAGCCTTCCCTCACGCGAAGGCTGTCACAGCGGACGTCCCCTGGGTTCAAGGGCACCGTCTTCCAGGTGACGTGCATCATCCCCTCATTCTCCGGCTCTCTCTGCTCAGCCGAGGAACAAGTTTTTACTAGCTTTTGCTGGAAAGTGTCACACCGGCCAGGGTTCAGCCTTTATCACTGTCCATCATGCTTGATGCCATCTGGTAGACACAAAACTGATTGAGATGAGTGTTCAGTGAGGGCAAAGCTGCAGTCACTTTTTTATCAACTGAGAGCGGAAAAGAATCTTCTTTTTTCTCTTTCTTTTTTTTTTTTTTTTAAGATTATTGTTGTATATGGAGGCTGCTTTCTTCCACCTCGGGCCGCCCCCGGCCCCGCCCCCTCGGGCTATCACTTTAAGCTCTCCCGCTGCCTTTAAAAAAAGCCTTCGCTGCTTATAAGCCTTTTGACAGCCACATAGGCTGTAATTTATAGTCTGGAAGAGAGTCCATGTGGCACTTATTAAAATTAGTTAGCAAAGATCTTTTATCTTTTTGACAGACTAATCAAAGATTAAATGCTCAGTTATTCTCTTCACAGAATTAGCTGCATTCTTTGTCCTAAATGTACGCTTTCCTCTCCACTCGGGGAAAGGACCCAAGACAAATGTGTTAAAAAGAGCAATTACCCTGCCCTGGGCAGGATGTGAGGGTAAAGCTAATAGCTAAATGACTTCAGTCACCTAACAGAGCCGCCTGCCTCCCTCCTTCAGCCTAAGCATCCCGGCTGCCCTGCTTCCCACAGCCAGAAATAGGAACTACTGATGTACAAACAGTAAAATTAACAAAATAGAAGTCGGCCGAGTGCCCGCTGAGGCCTGTGATGGGGAGACGTTATTCTGAGCTCCCGACTTGAAAACTCCAACTCAATCAGTCTTTAAACATTTAATTTTTAAAAGTCAGCTATGTTTCTATTTGTGGTCTTTTAAAATAGAGAGGAAATCAGATAGGGGACTCCCATACAACAACAACAACAACTTATGTAGGCCCAAAATAGCAGAGAGGTAGGTTTAAAAGTCCTCTTTTTAAAACTGTTAATACAAATATAAATTTCTTTTATTACGTCTCGTTTGGGGGTGGGGGAGGTGGCTTATGCACATCTCATGTGTGTGGAGATCAGATGACAACTTTCAGAAGTTAGCACTCTCCTACCAGGTATGACCTGGGGATTGACCTCAGGTTCTCAGGCTAGGTGGCAAGCATCTTCACAAGCCATCTCACTGGCCCCAAGTCAATAATTTTAAATAAAACTTAAAAGTATATTTATTAACCTATTAGAGGCTAGAGGGATGGCTCAGCTGTTAGGAGCACTGGCTGCTCTTTTTGAAGACTAGGGTTCAATTCCCAGTATCCACATAGTGGCTCACAACTATCCAATCCCAAGGGTACCTGACACCCCCTTTTCTGAGCCCTGCAGGTACTGTATATGTGTGATACACACACATGCAGGCAAAACACATAAAATAATTATTTTCTAAGTTGTAAAGTGTATCTACTGGTCAGAAAGTAGCTGTCATGAGAGCAGTCCATGTATGCAATATGAAAATGCCTTTGAAATTGCTGTATTTCCCAGAAGCTACTTTTGATCATAATGCCTAAAGTGGTCCAAGTCCCCTGTGCTGGGCAGAGAGAAAGACACTGTCAGGTGGTCAGTGTGAGAAGCCATACTGCATCTGTGTTGAGAGTGCAAGTCAAAGTTCTAGCACAATATATCCACAAAGTTAAATACCCAGCAGAGAGTTCCCAGGAAAAGGTTTTTCACTAGTTGTCTTCAGAAGAGATCAACTGTGCTATGTCTGTGTTTCGTTCTTCTGCCCTGACACCATACAATGTTAATTAGCAAGTGTTCCTATGGGTTCTAGGATGCTTTGTCAGTTCTGTCTAATTAGCCCTCTCCTGCCTTCTTCCTCCTGGTCCCATCCTAACAACGAACACAGTGTCATGCTTTCGTAATGAATAGACTTCTAGTATAATCCTCCTTGCAACTAACAGACTTCTGGTATACCTCCAGGGATATTGGTTGTAGAACTGTTGTCAGCTTGGTTATTCTCTGATCAGTCATAGGCCTTAGATGAAACATGTGCCAGATATGAATCAAGCTTTATTCCCACTGCTGGTCAGAGGTTCTCAGAGTTACAAATGAGTTCTGGATAACACAGGTCAACACAGTGAAACCTAGCAACTCGGGAAATGCAGACATGTGGATAGATGGCTTCTCTCTGTCAATGGCTGGAGAGGCAAGGAGCTGGAGTCAAGGCTAAACATTTAGTAAATAATTTCCAGTTGAATTGCTAAATAAATAGGGTAATTTTGTCTTCTCTGATGAAATATAATATCAAAATAGTCATAGAAAGTTGTTACTACATTCCCTTATATGTGGATATAGTTTAATTACCAGTTATCTTTCTTCATTTCTAGACTAACTTTACACACACACATATGTATACACACACACAGACATGGAACTATCTCTGAATAAGCAGTAATAAAAGGTGATTTTTAGGTTGGTGGCTTGAGTGCAGACTGTTCTCAAGGCCTCTATTAGAAGTGGGTCTTGTTGATATGCCAGAGCTGCTTGATATCCATGGGAGGCCTGCACTTTACTGTAGAGAAACGGAGGAGGAGTGAGGAGATGGGAGGGAGGGAGGTTAGGGGAGGGACTGGGAGAAGGGGAAACTGTGGTTGGGATGTAAAGATAGATAGATAGATAGATAGATAGATAGATAGATAGATAGATAGATATAGATAGATAGACAGATAGGTAGACAGATAGATAAAAGTGTCCTTTTTAAAATGAGTGATTAAAATCATTTAAGCGAATTAGTTTTCAGTGAATTTAGTTTGTTCTGATGTGGTAACCTTGTCCTCTTTCCCGTGTCTTCTGCTCTTTCTGTTCTATCACTGCTATAAGCCAAAGGTGACTTACCAGCGAATTCCGACATGTCCTTTGTCCCTGTCTTTTTGGTTTGGCCATGCCTCTCCAGTACTCTCCCAACTCGGTCTGAGCTTCGCTGACCTTGCTTTTGAAAGCTCTGAAAACAACCCTATGAGCGAGGCTGTCGTCCCTGCATTACTGGAGGGAAACACACACAGTGCTGCTTCAGGTCTCCTCTGGTTCCCCAAAAGTTCAGAATCATAAAGCATCTAAAGAGTCTAAGCACTGAATGAAAAGGTCCTTTGAAAAACTGTCAAGAACTAGAGGCAGCTAAGGAATGCCGAGAGTAGACAAAATAGTCTTCCCCAGGGAAGTGTACACCAGTTGGTTATCCAATATCAGATAGTCAATCCTGAAAGCATATTGACAAGTAGCTTTACACAAACATAGCAGATTGTATTTATGTATTTAGGGATAGTTATATATACATATGCATACATATATGTGTCTAATAACAATTAATGAAAAAAAGAAGCCATGAGTTTGTAAGACAGCAAGTAGGTAAGGGTTTGGAGGGAGGAAAGGGAAGGAGAAAATGACATTCTATAATCTCAAAGATAAAGAAATAATAAAGAAAATTTGTCTGTGGTGAGATTTAAGACATCCTGTGAGACCAAGACACGGTGGCCCATGTTAGTAATCCCAGCGTTCAGAAAGCTAACAGAGGAGAATCCTGGGTTTGAGCCTGGGCTACATCCTGAGTTCCAGGCCAGCCTGGACTGCATAGCAAGACCTTGTCTCGGAAAAAAAGGTTTTAAAGAGTCTTACTTTTTTGCTGCAGTTTTAGACTTCTGCCTTTGTCTAGGCCTGTGATTTACATAGTTTAATTTTATAATTTGTTTTATCCCTAGCCCTCGTGGTAGCTGTTCTGCGCTTCATCCAACTGAAACCAAAGGTTTTAAACCCATGGCTGAATATCAGTGGTCTGGTGGCGCTGTGTCTGGCATCCTTTGGGATGACCTTACTCGGTAATTTCCAGGTACTTCCTTTGGCATTTCTGCCTCCCTCTCATGCTGGTAAGATCGTCTAGATTGTTGCAGCCTGAGGTATAGTCACTGCATGGCCCATATTATTCTGCATGAACTCCAGACACAAGTAGACTCTTGGGTTGTATCCTCTATCCCAGGTGTCCATGTCTGTTCCCATCAAACACGTGAGTGCTAACTGCAGGTACAGATACCATGGTGGCTGGGAAGTAGCTTACAACAGCTGGGTTTCTCCTACAAGGATTCCTTTAGAGGACAGCTCACCCTTTTCTTCATTACAAACTGTATCCCAGCTTTTCTAGATAACTTAACACTGACCAGTATATATGATGAAAGCTTGCATTTCTCGATAACAAGTTTATATGAAAGTCAGGATGGAAAGTCAAGAATTTCTCCAGAATCCCTGATTCATACAAAGATGTGCTAACCCTGACTCACCCTCCTAGAACTCAGAAGCCTTGTGCACATACCCGGAAGAGTAATTTCCTCGTCTCCTGAATGGCTTCATTGTCTCTGTAGTTGGCTAATTTCCCTGCCTCCCTTTGTTCCACATTCCCTCCACTGTGAGCAAACAAGGTATATATATCCTGTCCTCTTCCCTGACCTATTGAGTAAACTCCAGATAAGAGAGGCGCTTGTCTTTGTTCTTACCAAAACACACTAGTGGATTTGCTGCAGCTCTTTCTAGTTTTCACCCTTACTCTAGCTGATTCATTAAGCCAGGATCATTTACTCCTCACCTTGGCACCCAGCAAATCAATATTTTCTGCCTGGTGTGTTGTTGAACAGTCCTATTCCCTATCAAGCTGGATAACCAGAAAGCTGCACTCTTAGAGTGTATGGCCCAGGATAACAAGCTGCCAAGAGCATCTCTGTTGAGATGGCTGCTGAGATCTTAGTGACAGCCTTCCATCTTGTCTGAGTGTGCTACAAAGGCGTAGCTTTAAGTTAATACCCACCCCCAGACCTTTGAGCTTTGATGAATACTGAAGTTCATATTTCATTCTGAAGTCCTAGAAGAATCCCAGAAATGAGTTGTCTTGGAGAAGGACAAAATTTAAAGCTATTAATGATGACACCCAATGTGAAGAACACTCTTGCTGGATTATCTGCTGGGAGTATTTAGGGAACAGATAATCAACCATTTAGCATATGGGATAAAAAAATGTTCCCAAAGTTCTTAGGAAAAAACAAAGGGTCTGGTACAAAAGTTCTCCTAAAAATCCTATTGGAAAGACTCAACTGCTACCAACCAGTAAGCCTGTAGACTTGTAACTGTCAAATGCAGTGCTCATCTCAGTGTAAATAAAATTAGCAATTGCTGGGTCAGGTTGCAGAATGCTTGAGTACTTGTGTGTAGATATGGGGTAGGGGGGCGGTTGCAGGATGCTTGTGTGCTAGTGTGTAACTCGGAATGCTTGTTAGCAGGTTCTTTCTGAAGTGGTCCCACTGCTTGAGCAATTTGGACTTTCATACTTGCACATAAGGCTACTTTGTTTTTCTTTATTACTGGAGCATTTAAACTTAACTTTATTGTGATTTCCTGAAGCAGGCTATAATAACTTTAGAAGATATTGTTGGCTAGATTTATTTATATAAAAAGGGACATGATGAGTTTTATCCTGCATGCTTGATCAGAAGAATACAGGAAGTTGTGCTCTTGCCGCTTGTTATTCCTTCACATCAGGAACACTGTCCACTAGAAACTTCTGATACGAAAAGGGATGAGGAAGCCCTACAAGGCTTCGGTCTGAATTATTCATGTTTGTTGTCTTGACCCAAAACTGAGAAGTTACTTGGCCTTAGTGGGATACAACACTTACCTTTGTTGTGGACAGAGATTTGGTCAGTGTTGCTTGTGGTTTCACTTGAATTTTGAAATAAAGACAGTGAATGAAGCAGAATGATGACCAAGGTGCTTTATACATTATGATGTTGAGGTAACTGATGAATTGTAAGCCATACTTCATTTTTTAAAGGTATTTGGATCATATTTTGTCCAATATGTCAATGAAATTTTTAGGGAGGTATATTAAACTTGAAAATTTTAATCAAGGTATTTTTTTTCCTATGAAGACGGTTGATTTTAGAATTTGAATTGTTAATGTACCTCTGTACATTTTACTTAAATATCTGATAGTGTTATTATGTGTTTAGATGTTATTTATTTAGCATAGACATTAAAAATAGCTTCTGGGAAAAACAAAAAAAAAATGTTCCCATTGCTGCCTCTTTTTTATAAACTTGAGAAAGTTTGAACCATATATGACTGTATTACCTATTTTTTTAAAAAATCAGGTAAAATAGGAGTAATAAATGAAATTGGTTAGACTCAACATGAAAAATTAATTTCCTAGAAGTGAATTTAGCTTGAAAACACATTACTTCAAGTAAGTTTTGAAAATATACCTTTTGCATTATGAAGGGGGAAGTGGCTTCCTAACAAAGAGTGGGGGAGGAGATCTATAACCAAAAACAATAGAAAGATCATAAGAGAAAAGTATTATTAATTTAGTGCACACTTACAGCAACATTGTCAGATAGCAAAAGAGCTGAGGACAGTGTCAAGTTTAAAATAATATTTCACCATGGTTTAAAAGCTGTCTCTTGAGCAGATTTCATTTTCCTATAGGTAGGGTTAAAATGCACATAATTTTATAAGGAGTTTTTAGTGATAGGCACCTTCTGTGAAATGGCTGTGTAATGATTTGGAGAGGTTTTACATCTCTAACAGCCAACAGACCCAGGGGAGTCTCAGACTGCAGAAGCTTTGAGTATGGATCTTCAGACACGATTGTTCTTTAATGGCCTGTAGATTTGGCTAACACTCAGAGCTTAAAGTTTTCTTTATTACTATAGGAAAACAAAACCCAGAGAATTCCCACTAACATTGAGTAGGCTTGTGTTATACAGACAAGCTGGTTGTCCCAAGGGTACCACTGTGTGCCAATCAAATCTTCCCATGCCAGAACCTGCGTTTCTCAGTAAGCAGGCATCCACATCCCGACCCTCATTCTCTTTCAGCTTGAAAAGCAGAATCTGGGATGTGTGCCCACAGGAACTTGACTTTCGCCTTTTTATGTAATTCTCCTGCTTTTTAATTTCCTTTCCTTAAAAGCTTTTTCTGGAAAATAAATTCAGGAAATAGATCCCTGCCTCCTGAAGGGTTTTCTAAACAAATGTTTTTAAGTTTGGGGAAAAACGATTTCTTTGCTCCCTCTCTGTAGATTTTAACCACTTGAGAATCAACACAGAGAGGCTGGAGAGACCAGGAAGCCGAACCTTTCTAATCTCTGTAGCCCCACTCCCGAAAATCTTTCCCCATCTCTGCCCCCATGGTTACTCATAGTCTGAGTGTCTCCAATGAGCCTCCCCATGCCTTCTCTGTCTCCTAGCTCACAAATGATGAAGAAATCCATAACGTGGGGACATCCTTGACCTTTGGGTTTGGCACACTGACCTGCTGGATCCAGGCCGCATTGACACTCAAGGTCAATATCAAGAATGAGGGGCGGAAAGCTGGAATTCCAAGAGTCGTCTTGTCAGCCGTCATCACTCTCTGTGTAGTCCTGTGTATCCTTTGAGGCTCTTTGTCAGGGACAGTAGGGCACAGGTAAGCTTTATGTGCAGAAAACCATTGCTCTTCCCGGTGTGTAGAAAAACCACCAGGTCAAAGAGTCAAAATGAACCTATTGCTTTGCGCTCTACCTTTAAAAATGTCTAGCCAGGGGCTACAGAGACGGCTGGGTGGTCAAGAGCACTGGCTGCTCTTGCAGAGGACTGAGGTTTGAGTCCCACACCAAACGGTGGCTCACAGCTGGCTGTAATTCCAGATAGAAGGCCAGCTGTGCCCTCTTCTGGACTCCTCAGATACTGGGCACACTATGGGTACATATACATACATGCAGACAGAGCAATCATACACAAAAATAAAAGTGTCTTTAAATAAATCAATAAATTGGAAGTTTTAGATCAGCCTACATAGTGAGTTCAAGGTCACACTGGACCACATCAGACCCTGTCTCAAAAATAAAAGTAAGGGCTGGAGAGATGGCTCAGTGGTTAAGAGCACTGACTGCACTTCCAGAGGTCCTGAGTTCAAATCCCAGCAACCACATGGTGGTTCACAACCATCTGTAATGAGATCTGATGCCCTCTTCTGGTGTGTCTGAAAAACATCTACAGTGTATTCATATATAATAAATAAATAAATCTTTAAAAAAAAAATTTAAAAAAAAAAAAAATAAATAAAAAAAAAAAATAAAAGTAAAAAAAAAAAAACAAAAACTATCAGACCAGATTGTTATACCAAAGAGCCAAAGAGAGACGGGTAACTTCGGCCAAAGCAGGCGCTGCTCTCTAAAGATTATTTTGGCTATGGGAAAGGTGTCATGTACTCTGCCGTGAGCCACATCTTCCGTTTATGAAAACCACAGTACAGAAATCCAAAAAAGTGTTGTGGGTTTTTTTTTCCATCTTAAAAAATGTATCTGTGACTTTAAGTCTTGGTAGAGTTAGGTTATTGATTATCCTTAAAACAAATTACAGGAGACAGATGTTTATATATCTCAGGATATACATTTTTCTGGAAAACAAATTCAGGAACTGGATGGCCTATGTGTGTGGTTTTCCTGTTACGCATTTCTTTCTCCCCTCAGACTCTGAACCAAGGGAGAAGAGACAAAGAAGAGGTGAGGGAAAATCAGCTCAGACCCCGTCCGCACTCTGTGGCCAGTAAACTAGGGAGGAATGGTTCAGGCTCCAGCCGCACCCTGTCCTCAACAAGCAAAGGAGGGGAAAGTCAGAGCATGCCTTACTCCCTCAGACCCCAGACAAGTCCCAGAGAGCCAGGCAAGCTATCACATAGCCCTGGTCCAATAGAAGTCACCAGTTCCTGTCTGTGTTGGTCACTCTTCTGTTGCTGTGATAAAATGCCCTGACCAAAAGGAACTTAGAAGACAAATAGTCTGTTTAAGCTTACAGATCCAGTGTTTGAGTCCATCATGACTGGAAAGCACACTGGTTAGAGCAGGAAGCTGGTTGTTCACTTTTTCACCCATACACAGGAAACAAGATGAGGAAGTAGGGCAAAGCTTTATAAAGCTTCAAAGCCTGTACTCTGTAACATACTTCCGCCAGCAAGGCTCCGCTCTCTAACAGTTCTGTAATTTTCACAAACAGAACCACCAGCTGGGGATGGAGTTTTCAACTACAAATATGGAGTCTGTGGTTGGCATTTATCATTCAAACCCCCACCCCATCAGTTACACTGAGCACAGAGCAGATGAAACAAATCAGCCTTTATTCTTAGTAAACTGATTAGAATGGCTCGAGCGTCATCTACACCCTGTAGTAACCAGTATTTACTCAGACAGGGTCTCCTCAGAAGAGGGATTCCTAAGTGGTCACGCACAGCTAGCACTTACACACTGCAGTCAGTAATCCTCAGTGTTTGCTGACCGCTTACCCTGTCTAGGCGTCATTCTAAGCGTGTGAAATGTATTGATCCTTTCAATTAGAGATTGAGATTCAGAGGTAGGCTAATTTGTCCAGGATCGCACAGATTGTAGCTACCTGATACAATATGATCAAAGAAATCAAAGCTGCCATTTCCCCGAGTTAACCCAGCCCTGGTGACATTTCCTGCCCTCAGCTAATGGTTCTGATTGAATTGCATCTGAACACTTGAAAGTGCTGCTGCCTAAGTCAGAGTTTCTATTGCTGCAAGGAAACACCATGACCAAGAAGCAAGTTGAGGAGGGGAGGTTTTATTTGGCTTACACTTCCACATTGCTCTTCATCACTGAAGGAAGTCAGGATGGGAACTCACACAGGGCGGGATCCTGGAGGCAGGAGCTGGTGCAGAGGCCACAGAGAGGAGCCTACTGGCTTGCTTTCCCTGGCTTGCTCAGCCTGCTTTCTTATAGAACCCAGGACCACAAGTCCACGGTCAGCTTGGCCCTTGATCACTACTTGAGACACTTCCCTACAGCTGTGTCTCACGGAGGCATTTCCTCAACTGAGGCTCCTTCCTCTGTGATGACTCTAGCTCGTGTCAGGTTGACACAAAGCCAGTGAGTACAGTTGCTTAGAGTCTGGGTTTCCTGGATCCAGGCTCAGTCAAGAGAGTAAACATTGCTGAAGTAGTTTCACCTGCTCTTATAGTCTCTGGAAGTCCCTGAAGATGTTAGGTCTGTGTATTAAAGACAAAGCACAGGTAAAAGTCCTCAGATAAACCCAGGGGACATATCTAATTTTTCTGAATAAATGTTTTTGGTTCTCGGACTGTTCTTACTTCACTAAAACATGCTATGAGCCTTTGCTTTTTCCTCAGCTCCCTTACTTCTATATCCATGGTCATATGTGTGGGTAGGTCATACACTACCCACTTTATGTAGTACACATATATATTTCTTTAATATGGGTATATACACATTTAGGGAAAGGACTGTCATCTGATATTTCATTGGTCTTTTTAGATTATTTTGTTTTTCAGAAGTTTTTTTTAACTTTAACATTATTTATTTTTACAAGTATGACTGTTTTGCCTGCATGTGTGCCTACTGGTATGTATGTGTACCACCTTTGTACCTGGTGTCCTTGGATGTAGGAAGAAGGAGTCATCCCCGGGACTAGAATTATGGATGGTTTTGAGCCACCATGTGGGTATTAAATGCTAAGGCCCAGGTTAAATGGTTAAGTGGCTCAGTGGTTAAGAATACAGGTTGCTCTTGCAGAGGACCTGGGTTCAGTTCCCAGAATGCACATGGTGGCTCACAACCATTCATAATTCCAGTTCCTGAGAACCCAACGCCCTCTTCTGACCAGGCATGCACATGATATGCATATATATTTGCACACAAAACATTCACATGTAAAATGAAATGAATAAATTTAATTTTAAAATTTAAAAAAAAGTCTCCAGCCGGGCAGTGGTGGCGCACGCCTTTAATCCCAGCACTCGGGAGGCAGAGGCAGGCGGATTTCTGAGTTCGAGGCCAGCCTGGTCTACAGAGTGAGTTCCAGGACAGCCAGGACTATACAGAGAAACCCTGTCTCAAAAAACAAAAACAAAAAAAAAAAAAACAAAAAAAAAAAAGTCTCCATTATGGCATTTCATACACACACAAACATACACACAGTGTGTGTGCGTTTTGAGACAGGTTTTCATTAGCCCAGGATGACCTCAAACCCATTATGTAAGCGAGTGAGCAGAGAGCTCTGGTTCCTCCTGCCTCCGCTTCTCAATTGCTTCTCTTCGTGTGCTCACTCGGTTTAATGTGCCTAAAAGAGCAGAGTCGTCGTGGTGTGAGCACCATGGAACAGACGCAGCTGTGTGGTGGTAGCTGGTATCTGGAATGTTCGGCAGGGTAGTCGTCCTTTTGCTACTCTCTCATTTAACCAGGCAGGTGTGGAGTTTAGTCGTGCATGGCCAAGGAATTTGTGTAAACCCACCAATTCATGCCTGTGTACAGAGTGTGACTTCCAGCAAGCTGCCCACTCAGCCTCTGTTTCTTGACTCTCAGTGATGGTAGGCTCACTGTGAGTGTTACAGGAGATTATCTGTGAACACATGGAGAAGCATTCCCAGAACGGCACACAGCTCAACATAATCTAATAACACAGGCAAATATCAGCTTTCAGCTAGCCCTGTCACTTCGCTGTTAGCTTGATGGGGAGACTAATGTAGTTGTGTCCGATGGCCTTCCTTGACTCCTGCACCCCAGATTTCATCCTCATGGCCCAAGATATCCATATGTATGCAGCCAGGGTCCAGTGGGGCCTGGTCATGTGCTTCCTGGCGTACTTTGGCACCCTGGCTGTGGAGTTCCGGCACTACCGCTATGAGATCGTGTGTTCCGAGTACCAAGAGAACTTCCTGAGCTTCTCAGAAAGCCTGTCAGAAGCTTCTGAATATCAGACCGACCAGGTGTAACCCATCAGCCTGTCCTTGGGGGAGTGGTGGGTGTGGCAACAGGGGAGGGGCCAGGAGGACACACTCACGGGACTTGACACATCACCTCACGATGCTCTTCACACACACGGACACATACTTATGGCCACATCTGACAAGAGAGCTTTTCAGGGCAGGTTATTTCTTTCTTGAACAAGCACAAGACCTCATGTACGGAAATACACACTGTCGCACTGAAAACATGCACGACAGAGCCAGAAGCTTGTGCATGATCACCTCCCCGCCCCCGCCCTCCCAACAGGCCTTGCGCTTCTCATCCTCTTCACGTTTCCAAGCTGGCATCTTCCTCCAGCAGAGTAAGGCCAGCCGAATGAAAAGCAAGAGTCAAGTCACCTTTGGGTCCGCAGGGCTTGAGATGACGAGCATGGGCAGAAGTTGTGGATCTGGTACCAATACTGCTGAGCGGAAAACCAAGCAGCATCTGACTAGATACACACCGCACTAAAGCTGTGACTGAGTCCCTGAGAGGTGGACAGAGCTCTCCCACCAGTCTGTCCTCGTCACTGTTCAGCAGTCGGCTTTGTGGATCCAGAGAGAGAAGCATGCAACAGAGAGTGCCCGGGAAAGAACACTCTGCCTGAGGAAGATCTCTCCAAATGTGGATGTTCGCTGGCACGGTCTGTTGTCGCTATGGCAGGAGGTACAGCCGAGAGGGCGTGGCTTGGTTTTTGCTTCCACACTGTGTCATGCACAGTTCGTTTTATAGTTCGTGGCTTGTGTTTTCTTTTTTAAGTACCATTTCCACGGGTCTCTGTAGGCCTGCGGACAAAGGTGTGGACCAAAGGCAAGAACCTTGTTTTGGTTTCAAGTATGAAAGGGGTATACCTGCAGGTGTAATTTATATTTGAAGAAGAAAAAAAGATTCTCGAAGAAGCACAAAAGAAATCTCTGGGGGTGAGAGGTATGAGGGCGCTGTGGGCTCTGAGGAAAGACAGGTTAGCACTCTTGCTGCAAATCCAACCCAGGGGAGGCTTTCATATCCATGTGTTGCCCAAATTTTATAGTTTGAGGACTAGGGACTTTTCAAATTTGGAAATTATGGAAGCAATTTAAAAACATTGCCATCCCTGAAACCCCATTGACGTAAACAGCTGCAATACTGCTAAACGTTCAGAGGTGAGCCCATAGGTGCAGGGTTCAAGGCCATCCTAGATCCCTGTGCTAACAACAGAGTGCCAAGTGCACAAGCACCCCCTCCCCCAACCAAGTGCACTGTTTCAAAAAAACTCTCCAAATTCATAGGGGCCTCGGATACCCTGGAATGTAATGTGAAAAACTCTATTTTGTAAATTCAACCCAAAGTGTAGCTTCCCAAGGAGGGGTTCAAATGCTGTTATATCTAAAGCTCCACTCCCAGCACAGTGTCTAGCACATAGTAAATACTCAGTAAGTGTCCACTGAATAGATTTACTGGTTGTTTCTGAGTGGAGGTAAGGAGTATCGAAATGATTCAGAGACAAATGACAGAGTGGAAGCTGTATCGAGTGAGGAGGGGGAGGGAGGGACTGTCACTACCGGGCAGGGAAGGGAGTAGAAACCCTCAGTGGTGTGAGAAAGAGCCTCGAGTGGAGTATTCTCTCATTAAAAAGGCATCTTACTGTAAATACTCCAGGGTGACGTCTGTTAGTTTTGAAACTGCTACGGGGTTTCTTTCTTTCTTTTTTATATTTTAAAGATTTTATCAAAGAACAAACCGTTTTATCTTACTCTACACACTCCAAGTTAAAGAGCTTTTGGTGATGCACTCCTGCTTTCTTAAAGAGTATATGTAACAACACATCCTAACAGAATCAAGCAAAGATTGACATTATTCACTGGGATCTGGCCACTAAAATAAAGGTGTTTTATGCAAAGTCATGACTTCCTTGTTTCTTCCACTAACGGTTCTTCATGGGTGTGCACATACATGTCCATGTTGGCTGTCTGCTTGCAGAGCATGTTCTTCATGTTTGTTTTCTTGTGAAGGACACGACTCAGGATCAGTCAAATGGAAGAGGTGCACGGGGAAAGGAGAAGGCAGGCCCCTGCCCTCAGAGCATCCCACTCTCCCAGCCTGGAAGCTCCCCACAGCTCACTCTTCAGAAGTAGTGGGATGGCTTGGAGGTCTAAGCACCTGGTGGCTAGCCTCATCCTAAAGTTACATGCTCAGTAGCATGAACTCTGTACATGAACACACTCGTTATGAATAAAGCATTGCTGTTACATTCTGTGGGTATTAGGAATTCCATGCCAGGAATAGAGACAAAATCCAAGCATCTTGTCTGAGAAAATGTTTTTGTCCAATAAAATTTTATTCTTTCTCCTCCAACTCCTCCCAGATCTACCCCACCGCCATGTCCAATTTCTCTCTGGATAAAAAGCTAAAATCAAAGCAAACTAAAAAGAAGACCAGTATGACAAAACAACAAATAATTCACAAAAGGACATGGAGTATTTGTGTGTGTGTGTGTGTGTGTGTGTGTTAGCAAACTACTCCTGGGCATAGGATCTGCCCAGTTATGTTGTCGATACACCCAGTGACACTCCATTTGAAGAAGCTGGTTTTGTTTCTCAGCAAGTACCAATTATGAATATCTTCTTGGTTAGGGGTAGGAAGGCCTTTGTGTCCACTCTCCCGTCTCAGTGTTGGGATGTTGTCTGGTTTGAACCTACACAGGCCTTGTGTGCGAGCGCTGTGACCTTCCCTTTGAGTTCATATGTATAAACAGTTCTATTGTTCTATATGTATACACAACAGTTCTATTGTGTCTAGAAAACAGTTTCTTTGGAATCATCACCTCTGGCCCTTACTATCTTTCTGCCTCCTCTTCTGCATAGAGGGGTCTTGAGGGAAGGGCTCTCAGTAAAGGCCTCCCATGTAGTGCTAAGTGCTCCAAACTCACTCCCTGCACAGGGTCCAGTTGTGGGTCTCTGCTAATTGCTATCTACTGTAAGAAGCAGCTTCCTTGATGAGGGCTGAGCATATGAGCTACGGTATAGAAATGTGTCATTAGGAGTCACTGAACTGCTATGCTTCTTTAGCAGAATCACAGCAGTGGGGTTTCGTAGCGTGAAATATTAAAAAAAAAAACAAAAAAACGAAATTTACAACATGGCCAGCAGGCCCTGGCTGGCCGGCCGGCCAGGCACTGGTGGCCATGGCAAGCCTATTCTCATCTCGTAGTGACCCCCTGACTCAGAGCTCCAGTCTCCACCCAGCTCGCTAAGTTCCCACTGGCAGGTCACTACCATGCCAGCCCCACGCTTCAAAATTCCCACGGCCTTTAGGAGTGTACTTCTTGCAAACCCACGCTTTGCCACCGTACCTCTTTCTCTCTTGTACCCAGTTGAGCCATCGAGTGAAGGAAAGCACCACACAAACTTAGTTCAGAATCAATGGTAACTCAAGCGCTGGGCCCAGCAACTAACATCCTGATTTATAAGCCATTCTAAATCCTCTGGTAGTGGCTCCAAATGGATCCGCCACCTGAATTGGGGTCTCCGCTGTCTCATTTTTGCCTCATTTCCTGTCCTCTACCCCCTCTCCTCTCCTCTTCCACTGTCCCTCAGTTGACCTGGAAGTTCCGCCTACTCATCCAATGATTGGTTTCTTTATTCATTAGAAGGGTCTCGTGATGTCCTTGTCCCAGGCAGGCAGCCCCTCTTGGGAAGCTGAATTAGCACCAAAATACAAATAGCACCAGGGCTATCCACAACAGGGGTTCCCCTAGGCTCATGACCTATCTAGTTCCAATTCTTGGCCACGCTAAGCAGTATCTTATACAGGTTCCATGTCATGGAGCAGGCTCTAAAACCAATTAAAAGCAGTCGTTACTCCTGTAACACTGAGCCACTACTGGCCAGCATATCTTACAGCAAATCACTTGTTCAGTTTGTAGCTCAGTGATACTGGTGCTTACTCTTCTCCTCTGGTACTGAGCACCACCAAGTTCTCAAAAGTAATTAACACCTTGGCGACAGCCTGTGATGTTTTCGGGGAGGGGTCTCTGTGGGACCCCTTTGGTCAACGATTTGACAAGATGGCCTAAGGGTTAGCTGGGCCATTGGCTTCTCCATTATATGGAGACTCCATTTAAAACACCCAAGTGTGTATACATTTCCCCAGCCCTCCCCCCAGGCTTCTAGTAGACTTCATGTAGCTTTTCAAAAGGCCTTCAGTGCTGGCCCTCCCCAAATCCCTTCCCCCCCCCCACTTAATCCCATCCTACCTTACCTCTTTATAACACTGTTCTATCTTGCCTTCCTATTCAGCTGTTTAGAAAAAGAAATTATAAAATCTGCAGCAAACAGATTTTATAGTCATCCTAAAATGAGGGTCATCCTAACAGTCACCCTAAGTGAGGTAACCCAGACCCAAAATGATAAATACTGTATCTTTTCTTACTTGTGGATGTCATCTTTGAAGTTTGAGATATGTGATTCAATCCAACATACCACAGAGATTAAGTAGCTGGTAAGGGGCAGGGATTGGGAGGTTGGGGATGGGGATAGGGATCTTCCAACCCTTTTTGTTTTTAAACGATCTCACATACAAATAAAACTGGAGATCAATGTGACCCCTTAGAGCTGTGAGTCACAGCACTCATAGGAAGCCATAACTAGGGAATCTTCATATAGAGTGAACAGCCCTGGAGGTCAGGGAACAAAGTTCCATACATATTGTGTTTAGTGTTGTTCAACTGAGCCTCTTGACACAGAAAAGGACAAAAGGATTTAATGGAATAACCTGTAATCTCAGCACTAGGGAGGCACAGGCAGTGCTGGGTTCCATTCTAGAGTGAGCTACATAGTAAGACCTGTCTCAAATAAGGAGAGGAGGAAGACCTAAGTATTGCCATATATCAACCCTTCCGAGTTGTCCAGCCCAGATCTCCATCCTGATTGGTGGACACTTTAATTAATGGCATCTCCACTGTAAGGCATCTTGGTTTTAAACCCTCTGCTCTCAAGCCCTTACACCCACCCTTTGCACACTTGTCCTATGTGAGTTGAAGAGGTTCATCTTCCAGTCATTACGGGGATCTCTTTTCCCGTACTCCTATACCTGTTCTCACACCCCATATTTGTGAGAAAATCCTAGCAGCGCCACCTCTGAAGCCGACTACAAGCCAGGCATGGTGGGGCACACCTTTAATCCCAGCCCGCAGGGGGCAGAGGCAAGTGAACCTCTGAGAGTTCAAAGTCATAATGAGTTCCAGGATGACGACAACTACAGGGTGAGGTCATTTCTCAAAGGA